TGGTGGCAGTTTAAATTGGACTATATATAGAAGAGACAAGAAAAACCGTTCAAAAACTGCAAATATACAAGTCAAGATGCAATGGATCGTCCCGTACAATCGTGGATAGTCCTGGACGAATTTACTTAAAAGCTTATGAACGAACCCAATGTATATTGATACGAATTGACTTCATACCCGATCATCGTCCCGTACGAACTAAGTTCGTCCGGTACGAACGATTATTCCATAGGTCGGTTCCCAAAAAGTACAGGACGGCGTCAAAATTTGAAGTGTTGATTCACTTCGTCCTGGACGATTTTTGGACAGAGGATTTTGTCTAGAGACGAATAGTGAATTTCATCTCGACGATTAGTGTAAACTCAAAGTCCATAGGAGTTCGTCCAGGGACGAACTTGGACTTCGTTTCGACGAACATACCAAATTGGAAATCCAGAGGATTTCGTCTAGAGACGAATCATGCATTTCGTCTAAACGAACATACCAAATTGGAAATCCAGCAGATTTCGTCCAGAGACGAATCATGCATTTCGTCTGAACAAACAGTGTAAAGTGAGAATCCAGAGGAATTCGTCCTGGGACGAATATGGAATTTCGTCCGGATGATCAGGACTTAGAAAAATTTTCTCACTTCCTGTTCAATCCATTGCTCTATCGAGGGGATAATTGACTTGATCGTCCCGTACGATCAATATAAATTTCTTGTTCCCCAAGGGTGTGTGTGATTATCTATACAATTACAATCACTCCCTCTCAAACTCAATACAAAGATAAGTACAAACTTCAATTTACAAACTATCTCATGCTGAATATGAATTGAAGTCTACATTAATCTGGAGTTCGATTTTCCTGAAATGTTAGTTCACACAATAGCAAAAAACAAATCTTCCAAACTGTGTTAGGAGAAAACAAAAATTAAAATAATAATATTTGGAATCATCAAAACTATACAAGTTGCAAGAATGTAAAACATGCAAATAACAACTCTCTTAACACAAAGCTGGTTAATCAAAGAAAGAAGAGGTAGGTTTATTAGTGGTAGTTTCTTTTGGGGGTTTATTTATTTTTTGAGTTTGGAGGTTTGGGGTTGGGGGAGTAAGGTTAGCTATTTATAGGAGAAGACAAGTTGCTTGAGATGTTGTAGAGATTTTCTACTACGACTTCTCCCTCTTATAGAATGAGTGGTATGAGGAATAGTGGATGGGTTTATTCATCAGAGGTTTTATGGGTGAATAAGGGATCTACAGTCAGGATAAGGTATGCATTTCCCGTCATATTAAACACAAAGGATTTGGGTAGTGTCGTTGATGCTTATATTAACTTTTTCATTTAGTTTAAAGTTCTTATTGACCTGAACACAAACCCTAGTAAAAGTTTCTTAGTTTTTTCAGCTGTTAGAGATTCAACAGTTATAAGTCTTCCTTGATGCTTGCAAATTTTTATTCTAATGGCATTCTAGTAGTTCAAAGAGAGATTAAGAATTTGACCCACAAGGGAATGGAAGTGAACTCATCTTTTTTAGGAATGAAATCAAGTAACCATTTTTTCATGATGAAATGATTGTTGAAGAATATCCATTGCCCCTAGACCACATCATTGCATAATCAATAGATGCATAAAACTTAAAGAGGATGAAGCTTGAATTGAAAGAAAGTACGGAAAAAGTACCTATGAGCTGTCATGATTTTTAACTTCTCTAATAAGAGCTTCGTAGTAAGGATGCCTTTCTATTGTATACCACATGAGCAACAGATCCTTCCTCAATCTCGAGGTTAAAAAAAGAGTTGTGTTATCGAACTACACATAGTAAATCAGGAAGAAAGATGAGGTGGTTTTTTTTTTTTTTAATGTATGTTTAAATAATATAAAAAGTTATTAAATTTTTTAATTATTTATTAAAAATTTTAAAACTTATTTTAATTAATTATTAATGTAATAACTTATTTTTAATTATTTATTAATTTTAATATTTTATTTAAATTTATTTTAAATTTTATTTTACGTATTATGTTATTTATATATAAAAAAGTAAAGTTTATAGCAGGTTTTCATCCATAGCAAAGTGGTGGAGTGTTTGCAAGATCTCCCCTTCAAACCCTAGCACCATCAGGGGTCGCGCGCTCGCTAGCGGGCCAGCGAGTGGGTCGGGCTATGCGGCGCGGGTGCACTGCCTCTAGCGGGAGGGTTTTCTATGCGGGTGAGCGAGTGCGTACGGGGTTCGGCCATGCGAGCCTAGACAGTGAGCAAGCGGACCCAGATAGCACGCGGGCGGGCCAGCATGAGTGGGGTCAGGCTTTGTCGGTGGACCAGTATTGGATGTGGGGCTCAAGCCTGGCTTAACCGGGGTTGCCATATGCAGGCGGGCCAACCGGAGGGGGGGGGGGGTTTATTTTTCAAAATTCCTTTTAAGTTACTCCGGCAGAGTTTTTCCACCGGACAGCTGCTAGAAAATATTTCCGGCGAACTAATTCCGTTAGAAAATATTTTCAGCAAATTATTTCTACGAAAATTTTTTTCCGACGATCAATTTACTGTTGAAAAAGTTTTCACCGGAAAATAGCCAAAAAATTTACAATTCCACCGGAAACTTCTAATGTCCCTCCGAAAAATCCGCTGGTAATACGGTACTTTCCTGTAGTGATATAATCACAATGGTGTTAATCATCCAGAACTCAATCTATACTTCAAACATCAGCCTGCGCTTGTATGCAACTACCTATTCTCTATTCAAATTTTAAACATCCAGTCTTAAATCAAACCTCAATTCAACACACAATCAACTTCAATCACCAAGTCTATGTCAACCTGTAGTAACTTGAAGCTACTACCCTGCACTATAACCAAGTTATTCAATATACTGCCTAGCTCAATGAACTGGCACCTACTAACCACCACTTGATTTCCTTTATCCACAACAATCACTTAATTGATTATCATTAATGCGGATAATTCAAATTTAATCAATCAAATCTAGAGTCAAGTTCAAATTCAAAATTCCAGATAAAAAATTCAAGGTTAAATGCCCATGTTTGATAACCCTTTTTTTGATTATTTTTTCAATCACCTCAAAACTTATATAATGACGTCCTTACCCATCTTTTATAACGACCAGATTCATAGTTTTAAAGCGTTAGATGGTTAGCTAGCTCCCAAATCAAGTTTAGGATAAATCTAGTTTTGCATTGTATTAGCTAGGTTCATAGCACTATTATTTAATGCCTAAATTAGACTTTGGATCCGGGGTGGACCCAAAATCATTGGCCCTCGACTTCATGAATATAATCCCAACATTCTAATAAACTGATAACTCAAATTAAAGTATTTCATGATCCAAAATTTAAATCCAAACACATAGGGTAGACTAAAACATTTCTGAACCATTTTAGAGCCCTAAATTGCCTCCTACTTCTCCTCTTATGGCATTCAGAAATAAGTGATCAAAATTTAATCTAATTCTAGTAGAGATTCCAACGTTATTCCTTTGATATCACTCATTAAAAACTTAAAATAAAATTTATACTATTATTTTAATCGAGAGTTTTAGTAGGAAACTCAAGTATTTTACGATGTAATTAACTACGAGGGCTTGCCTCATAGAAAATTTTAAGACCCCAGAAAAATTTTAAAAATCAATTAATTCTCTTTTGGAAAAATTAAAATCATCGCCTATCATTATCGTCATATTAAAATGATCAATAATAAATTATATTTTCTTTCCTTGAGAAGATATATCAATTTTTATCATGACTTTGAATATGAAATTAATGATAACATATCTATATTATCATAGCTAAATATTCGATCAAATATCATTTTGACCCCTAAGGGTCATGTAGTTTATGCTTGAATTTAGCTACTATATTTATGATGAAATTTATAATTTTAAATCTTAACCCATTAAGAAATCTTATTTCCACCTCTTGAGGTGATATATCATTTTTGATGGTATGTCGATTTCAGAATTAAAATTCAAATGTTAACATCAAATTTTTTCCAAAGAAATTACAATTTCATTTGTTTTGCATCTTTCCAAAGCAAAGCAAGCTAGCGGCGGTGGAGGAAAAAACAAAGAAGGAGAGTAGGCAGCACAGAGGTGGGGGAAGGAGGCGGCAAGGTATCTATTTCATGTTGACTATTGCCAGGAAGTAAAGATAGCTATTGAAAAACATATATTATTAAACAGTGTATAATTATAGTATAGCAAAACCCTTTTTAGCCAATTTTTGATGAAGTGGAGTTGATGTGATATAGTAGAAAATAAAATCATTTTCAAGCAATTTCTAATGACAACTGAATGTCCATCATATAACATCTTGTACACTCCTTGTATGCCCATTATAGTTTAGTCCCACTACTGTTTCAATTCCATATTATATGCAAACATTTGAGATGTATAAAAATGACATAATGTTTGGACTAAGGATGGTATATGATAGCTTGGAATATAGCAAGGTATGTTGATTTACTCATCATTTAGTAATAGAACTAGGAAATTTTCTTGGAGCAGGCACAAATTAACTTTTTCAAAAGATATCAAAAACATTTTTTAATAAATATACATAACAAACCTTGAAATTTTAAAGAGACATGAATTTGAATGTTCCACTTGTTTTTGGGAATTCAAATGAAAGCATCCGAGTAATTTAAACATATAGGGAATCTTATAGCATTAAAAAGCCCAGTATTAGAAAATACAACACTTATCACCATTATAGAAAATACTCAGCAACTAAAATGAAAATAATATGGAGTTTAAACACAAGTTTCAGTTTTCTTCGAGTTGAACACAATAAAAAGAAACTTAATTTCAAGTCTATAGTTCTGGACAAGTTGATCAAAATTATTTAAGAAAACAGATTATCATGAAAATTTTTTAATTAGACTTATTAGATTACTTTTCAGCCAAACTAAGACATATATGCGACTTATAGTAGTTGGTTTTAACTTTCCTTGCAAAAATTTGATCTCTTCAGACGGGCAACAGAAAATTGACAATCATAGGCGCAACAGATAAGCACATTTCTCTATTCCAATCTTTACCCGAATTGCACACTAAGAAATCCCAATATGTAGTAGCTGTTACAATGTACCCATACAAAATATGGCACATTTAAATATAATATATATATACAGACCTTCTATAAATACAATTCCTCAAGAAAGAAGAATTAAAGTCATATTGCCTTTACAAAAACCACAATATATGATCAAACATAAATTCCTACGAATTCAAATCCCCTATACCTTCCACAAAAGAATTAATTTGAACCGCAATTTAATAATCAAAGATCAAATAACATTTTCTTCCTTATTTCAGCATATCAATTTTTTTTTTTTGGAATCATTTGCTTCCCCAATTAGAACCGGTGTTCTTCAATAAGAAGAAGATGAACAGCAGTGAGAGCACCGTACCAATCCATTCTCGTTGCAATAATCACACCGTCGCATCCGTCCCTCTTCCTCCACGAACACTTTCCGGCTACCGCAGCATCTCCCGCACGGAACGAACCGAAATCCGCCACATCCGCCGCATACGAACGCAGGGTCCTGCCCTGGAACACCCTCGAGCAATTTCCCGAGCTCTCCAATCTCATGGAGCTGGCGCACCTCCTCTGCCCCACCTATATGTCTGCCGCGCAAGAAGACTTGGGGAAGGGAAACCGGCCGCCCCTTTCCACCGATCAGCGATTGGAGCTCGCGCCTGTAAGCCGCGTCTATGGAAACATCCCGCTCATCGACGGCAACGCGGAAGCCACGGAGGATTGCGCGGACGGCGCAGCAGTCCTCATGCGTCCGGCGGATGCCGCGTAGAGAGGTGGTGTAGAGGATGACGCGGGAATCGGAGACGTAGGTGTTGGGATCGTTGTCAGCAAGATTCTTCCAGAAGGGGCGGGAAGCGTCACGGGAGCGGCGGTGGAAGGTCTGGTGATAGGTGAATGATCGGGGAAGGGCAAAGGGTTTCTTGGTATTGGCGGCGGCGGAGAAGCGATCATCTAGTCCATCCATCAAGAATCAAGAGCTAGCAAGGGCTAGGGTTTGGGTTTGTTGTTGTCTGGAATTGGAATTGGAATTGGGAAAGAAGAAATAGAGGAAAAACTTGTTTCAAGGTCGTAGGAAGAAGAGAGAGGCGTGTGTGGTACGTGAGAGTTGGAAGAATGCTTTGACTTTTGCACGCGGAAAAAAAACATGTTTACGAAGGTCGGGAGAAGCGCGGTAGATGGCATGGCATGGCTGTACGCTTGCGTTTTGTTGACTCGCACGGAAGCAAGAGGATAAATAAACGGCGTGATTAATTTAAAATCAAATAAATAAAAAGAGTGATTAGATAATATTTAGTAGAAGAGGAGCAAAGTTTGGAATTTTTATTGGGTCCAGTGTCCGGGCGTAGCTCTATATCTGGTCACCATTTAAATGACGCCACGTAGCAGCCACATTAACGAGGACCCGGCCTGACGGAAACTGGGTATATTGCACGTGCGTATTTGGAATGATGACGGCCCGACGACCTGACCCGAAATTAATGGTAATTTTTTAAATAAAAACAGCGGCGATTCACTTCGCTTTAACATTTTCAAAGACGAAGCGTTTCTTCTGCAACTATTCATATTCTTCGCATTCACAAGCTTCTTCCGTTATTCTGAAGCAAAAATTTCTGGTGGATTAACTTCAGAGAAACAATGCTGCAGGTTAGAATTTTCTTCAAAATCAAATATTTTTCTCAAATATTTTTCGTGGTTAGAAAAATTACAAATCAAATGTTTAGGGTTAGGGTTTACTTACAAACTTTGATTGCTGGTGTAAAACTTTGAATGTCTCGTGTGAAAACATTTCTAATCAATCAGAGCTTTGTGGTGGTACAGATGGGTACTACTCGGTACAGATCGATATTTCTTGTTACCGATCGGTATTGATCTTTATTTATCGGTATAGCTCGGTTTGAACATAAATAAAGTTTTAAAATAGTGTCTATTGTTGGAATAATATACATAAAATGTTATACATATAAAAATATGTTTTCTACATTGGTCATCATTCAGTTTACATGCTTGGTACTGCTTGGTACTACTCGGTATTTCTCGGTACTCAAAGTTATTACTCAGTATAAGCTTATATATATCTACCAAATAATATTTATCATTGTTATATAATATATTATATATTTAATACTGAGTGAAATTTTTTGACAAGGTTCGGTATTAATCGAATTGAAAGCTCTGTAATATTACTCGGTACTGCTCGGTACTCAAAGTTATTAGTTGGTATAAGCTTAGACATATCTTCCAAATAATGTTTATCATTATTATATAATATATTATACATTTAATACTGAGTGAAATTTTTTGACAAGGTTCGGTATTAATCGGATTAAAAGCTCTATAATATTACTCAGTACGACTTGGGACTCAGAGTTATTACTCGGTATAAGCTTGTATATATATCTTTCAAATAATGTTTATCATTGTTATATAATATATTTTATATTTAATGTTGAGTAAAATTTTTTGACAAGGATCAGTATTAATCGGTATGAATGCTCTGTATCATTACTCGGTACTGCTCGGTACTCAAAGTTAATACTCTGTATAAGCTTAGATATATCTTCCAAATAATATTTATAGTTGTTATAAAATATATTTTATAATTGATATTCATTGAAATTTTATGACAAGGATCAGTATTAAAAGGTATGAATGCTCTGTAATATAACTCGGTACTCAAAGTTAATACTTGGTATAAATTTAAATATTATTTTTTATTATTTGTTATGCTGGGATATTCTCCGAAGATTCATTTCAGATGTCAAACTTCTACTTTTAAAGAAGTTTGTAATCAATTTGTTGTGAAATTCGGTGAGTATTTTGTTGCAAGACTACGCCAGCAACATATAAATTAGTCCTAATATTGCCGCCACTCCCTAAGAATGTTCCACTTGTGTATATGATATTGTCAAAGTGGGATATGCTTTCAGAGTGTTTTGTTATTAATGGCTAGATGTTACATTTTACATCTGATGAAGTTGCGCTGATCCTTGGCTTGCCTAATAGAGGAACTAAATTTGAGGCAGGAACTGCTAGAATAATTGGAGTTACAGCAAATGACATCAGGCATGATATTGAGAAATTGAAAGTATCAACTCCAATAGAGGATTTAGTGAAGAAATTCATATTTTACTTATTGTCAAACCTTTTCTTTTCCATGGCCAACTTTCGTGTACCTACTGCAATCCTAGACGTTGCAGATAATGTAGGTAACATTGGTACATACAACTGGCCTGAATCCATTAGGGATTTCCTGGTGAATGAATTCAATGCAATTTCAAAGAAATAATCCAAAGGTAATTCACTAGGTTACGTCAATGGATTTGTAATAATTATAATTGTGAGTATATACATGATTTTTTTGTTCTATTTTCCTACTGGTTAAGGTATTTTTTAACATGATTCAACATAATTGTTCGACCTAATTCTTTGCATATATGATTTCTAGAACGCACGAAGATCCTCGACATTGTGGATGACCTATCCTGACCCCGTTTAACTCATTAGGATGAGAATTTTATGTACTCTAAGAAAGATGTGAATAATTTATTTGCTGAACTCCAGGATAATGAGGTTGCAAACCTAGTTACATTCATTTAAATTTCAAATTGAGTTATATATTTTGTACCACTTAAAAGAAATATTTTATAGATTTTCTAACATTTACAAGGAGTTACTATGGACCTTCGAAAAGACACTGCTATGGATGTAGGATTGTAGAGGGGTATACGACCGCACTTACCCCGAGGGATAGAGACAATCACGGGCCTCCGCGATCCTTGCAAACGAGTCGATGGAAGGGGAAATTAGACCATACATATGATTAACCATGGAGGATAACGGCTCTCACCTACGCATCTCGATGGGTAATAATATGTATGGCCTGATCACAGTCACGGGTTTCCCCCACCCGATACATCAACTCGAGTGGAGTTTATCAGATGATGGAATTCAGTTTTCCATGGGCACAAGCCCCCGTGGTTAATTACATCTTAGGCCAGAGCTCAAGAAGACTCTCGATTAAGGATCATATATTATCCTTTTCATAAATAGGATTGGCACATAGGGCTAAGACTAGGAAGTCTTATTCAAATGGAAAGAAATGGTTCAAATGGCTCAGTCAACATGCGTGGTTCAAATCAACATTCGGAGGGACTACGATAGTGAGAAGAAGTTGGAGAAAATAAGATCAAGCATCCAACACATGCGTGAGAGAAAGATGGAAGTGGCGTCATCCATGTGACACAGATAAGTAGGATTTATAGTCCCTGAAGAGAAGGGATTCACCCACTTTTAAGCATACAACGAGACCGAATGCAGTAGCCTTGAATCTTAAATCTAAATTGAGTTTGGTGTTCTACGCACACTAACACCTGTGTCCTAACTAATGTAGTGCAAAAATTTGGACTTACCCCAGCCTGGATTGGGAAGCCAGCTAACCACCTAATTGATTTAAAACCATGCAGTCCGATCGTTTATGAAAGATGGATGGGTGTTTTAGTTTTTGGAAGTAAAGGCCGACATTTAGAGAGTTTCCTAATTGGCATTGTACTTATGTTGAGTGAATGCTCCTAGAGCTAATGTAATTAAACTTTTATTTTAATTAGTTTCTAATGTAATGCATGCTAGTTAAAGGATTCAAATCATATATGCATAAAACTTTAAAAACAGGTTTATAAAAAATAATTTTTTGAAAGACTAGGCCTCCCAAGGTCCGGAACTTCATCCTCATATGATATATTATCCGAACTCTAACCGCGGGCGGGGAGGTGTCTTATAACAAGAAGAGAAGGATGAAATATTATGCATGCGACCCCAGATAATTCCGGCAGTTCTCTAGATCATTAGGTTTCTAAATTATTTAAACCTTAAACATTAAATTTTAGTTATGAGTAGAAAAAAATTTTAGTCTTTAAAGAGCTTAACGAAATCTTGGCTAAAATAAAATAGGCATGTAGATCACTAATAAACAAATAAAAATAGGCAAACCTAGAGGCATACAATCATAAATTAATCATATCAGAGTAATCAAACTAATTAATAAATTTCCATAGGCCAACTACCCTTAATTACAAACCAGGGTCTACAGAAAAGTAAAGTGGCCGGGCACCACTGCCAACAACCCGGATTTCTAAGCCTATGAATGACGCAAATGACTTTGAGTGGGATATTGAGTCTTCAGGTCTTCAGTTTTCTCTTCTTGAATTTCTCCTCCTTGGACTCATTGGATTTCTCATCCTTGGACTCCTTAGATTCATAGTGGCTTGAATATCCAAACGAAGTGACAATATCCCCCCTTAGGGGGGTATTGCCTTTTCTCTTTGGATATCTAAAAGTTATCCGTACTTGATCTTCCAGATGGAAGGAGACTCTCCCCTTTGAGGATGCCTTCTTATTTTGAAATTCGAGTTGGATAAGGATATGCTAACTCAAAGTACATTTTTACAACTCTTATAATTATTATAAATTATTACATTAATAGAAAGTAATAAATTCTAGACTCTCCTGCAAGATTATTCTAATAAAAATCTCAAGCAATTGATATATCACAAGTAGTTTATTTGGAAAGTAAAAATGCTCATCACAGCCACATTTGACCATGCTCTTAATTATTTATGAGAGCTAAGAGATCCACCTGTAGTAGTTATAATTATAATTTTAGTCCTCATTTATTCAGGGGGGGCTAAGCAATTTCTGAAGCACCTGCATAAGACATTATTAGTATTTAGAATCATGACAATTACCCCCCTTTTTATTTAGCACTACATGAGCATGGCCACCTACAGGAAAAATAATATATATTATCCCTAACCTAGGGGTAGATCTAACACACAATCACATCAATTCCCAGAGTGTAATAAAAATAAGCAAACATACCAATCAATTTTTCATAACATGCAATAAAATCTCAGAAAGCCCAGCACATAGCAAAAAAGTAAACACCGATATTTTAGGTAAATACAAGACCTCAAGTTGAGTAGTTAGGCTTTAACTTTGCTGGATTTGGAGCTTCCTATGCAAAGTTTTGAATTTTCAATATTTTGGGCATTTAAGGAAACCTTAAGTTGAGCCAGCTAAGACCCAGCCGAAGATCTTTGTACGATTGAGCTTGTAGACTATCCTCGTATGTTTTCCTAGTTGAAACCATGATCAAATGAGCTCTGCATCGAATGGATTGAAGCCTTGGACGGATCTAGCCTTGGGTCGC